CGAACGCTCGGCACCCTTCCCATCCCCAGGCCAGGGTGGTCCCACTGTGCTGGTAGGAGCAGGGCCTGAAAACAGGGGTCCTCCCCCAGCCCGCCTTCCCCTGTTCGAAAATGTCAGGGGTTAAAATGTTCGCTTTGCGCCTTCTTTTGATCTTGGAGGAGAAAGGCTAAAATGCTGACACCTTTACGGGCCTTGCTTAGACCTGCGCTGCGAGCAGTCCCAGCCCCACTAACTTTGGTCCGCCTTATTAATTCCAGCTGCTCTCTATTTGTTTGTCATTTTCCCCTTTTCCTCGCGAATCCTTATTTATGGCAGAGGGGGGACATAAAGGTGCCCGCTAGTAGAATGGAGGCTGGGAGGGAATTTCTGACAAGGAGAGCATGAATGTGTGTTTTCCCTAAAGGTCACCAACAGAAGGGGCCTGGTCTGATCACCTCTTAGAACCGTTGCTCAAGTGCATTAACTAATTACCCAATCAGAGAAATGAAAAAAAAATATTCTTTAAAATAACCAAAGGTAATTGTAACCCGGTTGTTGACACTAATGGTTAATAATTGATCAGAACTTACACACAATCAATTGTTAATTCCCCCCGCCCCCCCACCTAAAAAAACGTGAGTGCTTGTGTAGTGTTATTTTGTTCCTTCCCTCTGGGCATTGCCCATGAAGATCCAGTTAGTTTCCACTTGGAGGCAGCCCCAAACCTCACAGCTGCTTCTTTAAGAATCTTAGATTTAATTTGTTTTCAGTTTCATCTAGAACCAAGTAACACTGGGACACCTTTTAAAAGATGCTTCCTTATTATCTCGGAGCCACACTTAAACAAATAAAAGTCATTCTTCCTCTTTCCTTTCACCTGGGGTTGCGAAAGAACAGAAGGCAGATTTCCTGGCTCATCCCATCTGCATTATGTTACCAGTAGAGTCCTCCTTGCAAACAGCTTCCATTTTTATCTTTCTTAGAAAGAGCGAGAACACTGCCCTCAGCAGAGGGAATGCAAGCCTATTTTCTCTGCCTAGAGGGTGGAGGGTGGAGGTGCCAGCTGAGACTATATCCCTCTGTTTGCAGGAGAGGCAGGTGAAAAAGCAGAGGAGAGCATGAAAGTGGGGGTATTTCCTCCCCAAACTGGGGCTAGACACCATGTCTAGCCTACCAATGCCTGACGTCCAAGTGCATAGCCTCAAACACCGGTTTCCTAGCATTCTAGCCCAAGCAAAGGGAAGGGCTGGCGTGTGGTTTCATCATGGCCAATAGAAAGTAATTTCCAGCAACTGGAAAATTATATTGTCATAGATTACTTCTCCTTATAATAAGCCTTTAAAATATCTGCAGGGATTTGTCACTTACATAAAGGTTTGCAAATACATCAAAGGGATATGTCCCCTTTGCGATTTGTAGAAATTCAAATGATGTTAATCATAATATCCACATATCACAGACTGTTGTGTATTGTTCCCAAGATTGTCTCTTGGGTTAACACATTTTTTTTAATGTTTAAAATGTTATTTTTGTAAAAGGTAGTGTAAAAACACATATTTAATGGGTCTATTTATATCCTTAGTTTGGGGTTAAAATGAATGTTTTCCTTGGGATTTTCAATGCACTGGGAAGCTAAAGAAAAGGTATGTGGTGGATAATCAGTGTAGACTGTTACTTTGAGGAACTTTCTAATAATCCAGCGTATTGTTTACATTTGAAAAGGGATGCCTCCGGCTGAAAAGATAAATGGCTTTGTAATGATTTTTGCAAACTTATGTCTCTTTACTGCGACTCGAGCAGAGAATTTAGGGCACATTTATTCCGTCACGTTAAGAAACAAAAGGGTCGACTTGACTCTTAGCCTCTGATAATATTTCAGTGCGATTTTAAATGACCCTAAAACGCACGCGGCCAGTGGAGGGCGGCTGCTCCGTCCGCGCTTTCCGCAGCGGTGCGCAAGGGCCAGATCCAAAGATGCCGGATAACCACGCGCGGGAGGACAGCCTCGCGGGCACCCGGCCGCTTCCGCGCTTCCTGGACCTGCTCGGCTGCGGCGGCGGCGGCGGCAGCAGCGAGGGATGCGGGATGCGCGGAGCCCCGGTCCGGGCGCCCGGCCCCTTCCTCTCCGCCGCCCCCGCGGCCTCGCCGCAGACAAAGGTGGATGAAGTTCTTTTTAAGTTTCAAAGGCAGTTGCCCGGCAGCTTTGCAGAAACAATAACTCTTTTATTGGGAACAAATGTTGACATTTGACGGGCGCGGAGCCTGCGGCCGCCGGGCAAGCGCTCCCCTTGCTCTCAGCAGCGCCCGGCCCCGGGGCCCACCTGAGATTAAAGCGCGAATTCCGATAAATCTGCTTTAAAGCACCCGGGGCCGCGCGGGGCAGAGGCCGGCAAGCCGGACCGCGGGGCTGCATCCCAGCCGAGGGGCGGGAGGCCGGGCCAGGCCCGCGTCCCCAAGGCCCCGCGTGCTCGCCACTGCGCGCCCCCCTCTCCTCCGCCTCCGCTAACATCTGCGAAAGTCTTCGTAGGCCAGGTCGTAATGTTTGATTAGCTCGATTTTAAAGCAAAAGATAAAAATCAGACGCAGCAACTTCCTTCCCTGTCTCTGTGTCTGTGTCTCTATGGGTCTCTCTTTCTCCCTCATCTTCCCTAAGGATCTGCGTGGAGAAACCATACCCCACTCTGCATTTCCTTAAAAAGATCCCGCTAAACACCTGCAGCTTTTATGTGCTTAGAGCACATTTCAAAATCAAGTTTTCCAGAAAGAAATTCAGGTCAGGAGGCAGGGTGGGTAAGTTATGGAAATCTTTGATAATTTGTTGGACTTATAAACATCAAAGAAGATTCGTTAGCCTGGGCTAATCTCCTGCGCTGCTTTGAGTTTTCACCCATTGAAAGGTATGCGTTGTCCCTGAGCGGAGGGCTGGTGTGTGTGTGTGTGTGTGTGTCTGTGTGTGTGTGTGTGTGTGTGTGTGTGTGTGTGTGTGTGTGTAGGGAAGGGATCACATGTGCAGGTAAAACAATCTTCAGTTCCAAAGGGAGACAGCTTTTATCCAGGCTTCAATTTCTGAACATGTGCAAGGAGACCAATTTTTGCCTGGGTTTCCTACTTCTCCACTCCACACTTCTTTAAGAGATGGAGTGCCCTCAGTGTGTATATTCACTGGGGACATGGTCTTTCAGTGCTTAATTTGTTGAATATTGTTAACTTTCATACTTTTCACTGAAGTCTTCAAATATTCAAATTATAATACTGCATATAGCAGATATTGCTGCCATGTGCACTGCATTCCCTGCTGATTTAGAAAATATAGCTAATATTAATAAAAGCAAAACTACTTAACGCCTTCGTATGGCAATGTCAAATGCTATCTGGAGGGGAAATCATTATCTTCACAGTAATTCTACAAAGCTTTCATCTAAGACAAAAACAGGCAAAGGAGCTCCCGCCTCACTTTTATGTCCACAGACTCGAATTTGTTTTCTTCCAGACATGCTGCCACAGAGTAACCAGGCTGCCCACGTGAAAAATCTTCCCTGTTGCCAAGAGATAGCTCAGATCCAAACATGTCAAGGTCTCTTACTAGGAGAGGCAGGAAGGAGAAAAAAAATAGTTGTGTACCCCCAGAGATTCGCTTTCTGCTAACCTCCAAATGCTTATCTACTCAAAGCCAACAAAATGCCTGAGAAGTAATAGAAAACCGAAACCTTGGCCTGCGTCTCCGTTGGCAGTCAGACCCCACCGTTCCTCCCCACAGGCGTGGCGCTGTGACCAGTTCACAGCCCCCTGGATTTGCCTCAAGTGTCTAAGATTACTTTCAAATACCCTTTCTAACAAGACCCCAGCAAGAGGCCACTAATTTCTAAGGCACAAAAAGCCACTGGAGAGAGCTCCGTTTGTCAATATCAACTGGTCCAGCAATTTCCCATCCTCAGACACGTCGGCCTATCGGAGCTGGCAGACGTGTAGACAAGATTTTATAAATTGTTCAATATCAGCCCATAATGAACCCCAACTGACCATTCCAAAGCAGCTAAAAGCATCCGGGATGACCCCCGCTGGGATCCAATAATGCTCTCAGGCTGCAACATTATTAATCATGGAATAAAATAGATGAACCTCTTGAAAAATAAGTGTATGATTGATTAAAGGGCAATCTAAAAAGCTATTATTCTTGTTTTATAACCGTAAGTTATATTCACTCAATTTATCTTTGGAGAGGAAATAAATGATTGTTCATTCCTTTTCTGAAATTATATTATATGGATATCCATATAATTTTGCTGAAAATTAAAGTGACAGTTTTGCTGCTTTTATGATACTAATCAAAGGGGATATGTTCCCTGACTACAAATTCTAGACTTGTCCTATCATTAGATAGTAACACAATAACGAGGCAATAGGCTAAGGTTCTTTAAACTTTTCTTTCCCCGCAGGGTAAGGGTAAGAGTCACTGTAAGGAAAATAAATCGCTCCTCCCAGATTTTCGCCGTGTGTTTAATGTGAGTTATATGAAAAGGAGAGTTAAGAAGCCATCCGATAAATCTGAATAATCTACGCCAATTTGGATAATTCAAGGTTACGATAAACAATTATTTCCCTCAATAATTTATGGTGAGGGTGTAACTATTATCCATGTTATCGCAATTCTCTAGTTACTGAGAAGGTTCAATAAGCCTATACCAGAAATAAATATAAAATGGATCCGAACGCATCGGCATATCAGATCATTTTATCTTGCCAGGCTTTTAAAATGTATACTAACAAACCATTTTCATATTCAGAACGCAAAATCTGAATTTTCTTGCAATGCATGTGTACATAAATAACCTAAAACCATACATATCTCCCTACTGTGTACGTCTCTTCCATCTGCCTTTTTGTAGGAGCAGAAGGGAGAGATTATTTTACACATTTTCATTAAAAAGACTGAGGTCAGATCACCTGGGCAGAGGGGCTACTATCACCAGGACTCCCTACGCAAATCACTCTTCCAGGACAAATGAGCCCCAGACACCACATTGTTGTAGACTAGTTTGCTTTTATTTACAATTTAAGATATAAATTAGTAAAGAATTCTTGTTAAACAACCAACAAAGATTATATAACCAGCAATGTTCAAATAAAAACCAGGCAGAATTTATTTACAAAAGGTTTAGATTCCATTGCAATACAACTTGCATAAATTACTAGAAGCTTTATATCATTATAAAAATAAATATCAAATTTGTTTCCACTTCTTAAGTACTCAAGTTCTATAATCACGTTTTATTTCTACTGTGTACATCTTTTACAAATAAACTTTACAGTAAATCCTATCACACCTATAGAATATATACCGTGGCAATGAAGTGATCAATTCAAGATATCCTGAGAAAAAAGATTGTTTTCAAAAGTCACACATACATTGGGGAAGCTATACTATGCCAACAAATTCACATATGTCCAACAAAAGTCTGTTCCGATAGAGTCTGTGGGTTGGCAGTGCCCTGTGGATCCTCCTCGTTTACAGTGGCACAAGATGTGGTCCGGATTTAGAGATCTTTTTTTTTTAATACATCTGTATATTTATGAACTTGGGAAGAGAGAATGGCCTGCTGACTTTTTTTCCAAAGCAATTGTGACACCTACCTGTGGACCAAGGAAAAGACCAAATCATCCCAAATCCTTCAGTCCCATGCCAACATCATCATATTCTAAAAAGGAGTCCATCTGAAATGGCCTTGCCTCTTCCCCATCTCCAAGATCTGTGATTAGTAATCGTGCCTGGGTATTTTTTGAGTTGCCGCTGTCAGCCAGGTGAACTGCACGGCCCTACCTAGTCCATCTGGACATAGGGACAAGCCTGATAACAGCTAGACTAGTCCTTCTATGTCTCTCCAGTCTGACTCTGCGAAGATCATCTATAAAGGTGTTTGATACCCCAAGTTTCAGGGGCACTCGCTCATCAAAGCAAGTGTCTATTAAGGGTCTAGCATAGTTAAAAAACAAAGTTCCAAATTGCATACAAATACCCAGATTTTAAGAATCTATTTTTTCCAAAGAGAAAACAACAGCAATAAATACATTCCAGTTAAAGGAGTGATTCTGTAAAGCAGAACTTGAGCAGAAAAAGGACTCTCTAAAAGAGCATGGATCCCCTCCCACTTAAGGGGAAACAAAACAAAACAAAAAAAAGGGGGAAGATTGCAGTGCTCTGTCCTCATACCCCGTGCCAAAAAGCAAGAAATACACATTAAGCAAGTTTACAGGGCAACTGGTTCGGGGAGGCTCCCCAAGGGGTAAGGGGGAACCCCAGGGAGCCCACTTACTTGCATTGCTGTGTGCGGCCCTTCTATAGGTAGGGCTGGAGGCCTCCACCAACCACGGTGCAGCCCTCACTGGCATCTGTCAGGGGAGGGGGCAGTTAGTCAGAACCCACCCCCAGAGCCATCAGTCTCCCAGACAGCAGCACAGCCACCAGCCTGCACACCCACGCTCGCCATGCCCTTGCCCCCTGCGCCCAGCGAGCAGTCTGGGGGAGCCCGCTGTCCCCACCACCACTGCCTGAGACAGACTTCGGTCATGTTTCCGCGTCCTCATTTTCTCTCCCCCTTGACTCCTTTTACAGGTCTTATCAGCTCAAGCCTGCATTATGAGCAACAGAGACAATATAAAGAAAAGGAGAGAAAGAAAATAGACTCTCGCTTTCTATTTTGAAGATTTAAAAACTAAGGCCTCTGGGAAGAACTAGAACGTTTTGTTTCCTTCCAGCCAAAGGCAGAAGAGGAGATTCAGCTGAGACTCTATAAAGGGACAGAAAAGACAGAAAGCGTAGGCTCAGTCAGCAGGGGGAAAGCTGTCAGCTGCATGTTGGGCAATCTGTGTTTGCCCAAACGAAAACAGTCACGAGAATACTAGTAACGGTAATAATGATAAATCAAATGAAAAGTCAGCTATAAGGGGGCAAGTCCCGTTGCGTGGCAGGATCGCCTGGCCCTCCGCCCCCTTTCTGCCCTCACCACCCCTTCACTTCTAACTTGCAGTCCAAGAACCACCGTCCAAAGACGTCCTGTCTTCTTCCTGTTCTCCTGTAAGCGACAAAGCTTCCCCGGCCAGACCTACAGGTCCCGCGGCCCCTTCCTCGGCTCCTCAAGGGTGCTCACCAACCGGGGACCCGCCGGCGCCCCCTCCCCCAGGGCCCCGCGGGCCGCAGGCCGCCTACCTTTCTTGGGCTCGTAGCCGCCGCCGGGGGGCCGGTAGTGGGGTTCCAGCGGGTGCGCGCCCGCCTTGCCCGCGTCGCTGGCAGCCTTGGGCGCCGCGTGCAGCGCCTCTCCGGGGGCCGCGGCCGCCGAGTTGTACCGCAGGAGACCCTGGCCCTGCAGAGCCGCGTTCAAGTTCCCGTAGTTTGTGTAGTTGCCGTAGAAGGGCGACGTGTAGTAGAGGTGGCGGCCGAGCAGCGGCGACGCGGGGTAGGGCGAGCCGCCCGGCGGCGCCCCTGACGAGGCGGGCGCGGCGGCCGCTGGCAGCCCCGGCGGCGCGCAGGCCGGGCCCAGGCTCGGCTGCTTGAGGTCCGACGTGGCGATCTCGGCCAGAGACCACAGCTTGGGCTTGCTGGCGGGCGGCGGCGCGCCCGGTGACGTCCGGCTGCCCAGGGGCGTCTTGCCGCCGCCGCCGCCCCCGCGGGGCGCGGCCTCGGATGGGGGGCTCAGCAGCGGCGCCTCCACGCCGGTGAGCGGCGACGAGGTCACGGGCTTGGGCGGCGCCAGGTCCCGCTCGCCCTCCTCGTCGTCGTCCTCGTCGTCCTCCAGGTCGTCGTACTTCTCCTTGCACTCCGAGCCCGACTCACACAGGGGGTCCTCGGCCCGGCACGGCAGCTTCTCTCCGTCCGACTCGGCGGAGCACGAATGATCCGTGAGCGAGTCGACGTGCAGGCTGATCCCTGCAGGGGCGCGGGCACGGTCTGTGGCACCCGGGGGCTCTCTGCCCCACCTGCTCCCTCACTTCGACCCAACCCGAGCCGCGTCCTCCAGGGAGCGCGACCTCCCAGGACGCGCTCACCGAGGAGGAGTTGCTCGGCCCCGGAGCTGCCAGGCGGCCGAGACTCCAGGCCCGAACGTGGAGCGTCGGGCGAGCAGCACCCGCCCCCCCGCCCGACCTCATCCTCCCTGACCTCACCTTGGCGCCCCGCCTGGGAAGAAAGCCCCCGCGACACTGCGCCCGCCTCGGCCCCTCTCACCTTCGTCCTCCACCGAAGTCTCGGTGCCCTCCTGCACCTTGTCCGGACTCTCCTCCTTGCTCCTTGCCGAGTCGCCCTCGTCCTCGTCCTCGTCCTCGCTTTTGTTCCTGGGGGCCCACGTCATCTTGTTCTCCTTCTTGAGGCGCCGGCGCGCGTTGGCGAACCAGGTGGAGACCTGCGTGAGGGTCATCTTGGTGATGATGGCCAGCATGATCTTCTCGCCCTTGGTGGGGTAGGGGTTCTTGCGGTGCTCGTTGAGCCAGGCCTTGAGCGTGGCCGTGGCATCCCGCGTGGCGTTCTTGCGGTAGGCCGGGTCATTGAGCTGGTACGGGTAGGCCGCGCTTCCATAAGGGTGGTAGCTGATGGCGCCCGTCATCCCGGTCGTGTGTGCGTCGTAGGGCGCACCCTGCAACCGACAAGAGCCTGGTGAGCGGGTCGCTTGGGGACCTGCCAGGCGTCAGCGCCAAGGCGACCCCTCCGCCCGCCCGTGGCCGCCTTTCCCACGATGCCTCCGACGCTAGAGCTGCGCTTCCCGAGGCAACAGAGCAAAAGGACTCAGCGGGTAATTTAAGGCCAGCTGTTGATCAAGAAAAGCGATACGGTTTTATTATCAAAATTTCCAACTATTTCACTTTCCTAAAACGACGCATCTTCCCCCAAACGCCCCTGGGCCGCCAGTACAGACGTACACAAATACGAACGCACACACAGGCCCACAGGTAGTTTCCTGATATCTAAATTTCTCTGGATGTTAAGTGCGGCTGCCTCCCCTACTCCTCCTCCCCCGCCCTTATATGGTTAAAAAACTACCCCAGAGCCCCCGCTCCGCTATTCACCGCCCTAAAGCTCGGCAAATCCAATTTGCAACTCAGAAGCCAGTCACCGTTTCGAATTCTTCAAATATGTGGTAATTAGCATGTTAATTCAGCCTTTAACGTTTAAATTCGAGACTTTTACAGCCTTCGCCGAGGCCCCAGCAACTCCAATGCTGCCCTGGAATTCCGCCGAACGCGGGAGGTGGCCACAAGCCCCCGTTACGGCCTCCATCATCTAAAATGCGTTTTGCCACACCCGGCCGGGCCCAGCTGCAGACCCCGAGGAGCGCGGGCCGACCCCGGGTCGGGGAAGCAGGAGCTGCTCTCGGTGCGCAAGGGACCGAGGCGGCACTTAGCTGGCCAAACGCCGGCCGACACGTTTTTCCGAAGCATGGCCTGTGGGACAGATTAAGGCTGAGATCTTGGCGGCCGGGCCGGGCCCCAGAGCCTCTGCCGATGCTCCCTCCCTTCCCCAACCCAGTGACCCCAAGCCCCTACAAGTAGATGCTAAACACTCGGTAATCGCCCCGGAGGCCCCAGTGGCGCCGACCCTCGCGCCCCGCGCCGAAAGAAGCGAGCCCCGGCCCGCTCCGGACTGCTGGCCGAGCTTCGGCGCCTGAAGGAAGGACCACCCAGGACAGATCCCATCCCGAGCCCAGCGGAGTCGCACTTCACAGGCTCTTGGGGAAAATGACCCCTGCAGCCGAGTGGAAGGGCGTGGAGCGCGAGTCTCGGCCCGCGCTCAGCACGTCGCCGGCCGACCGCCCTGCCTCTTGTCCTGGCCTCTCGTCCCGCCAGCAGCGCGGCGACCCCAGTCGGCGACTGCAGAGCCACCTCCCACGGCACGTTCCCCGCGGCCCAGCTCGCGGATCCCCGGCCCCGCTCCGCCAGCGCCCTGATCAGTGTCTCCGCGCCCGGCGTCCCGCGTCCAGCCCGCCCGCCCGCGCGCGGTTACCATGTAGGATGGGAAGCCGGCGGCGGCGGCGGCAGCGTCGGCCGAGTACTGCAGCGGGCTGCCGAAGCCCGTGGCCGCCTGCGCGGTGAAGGCCGCGGAGCCCGGGTAAGGGCTGAACGCCGAGCCCGACGCCGAGCGAGCCAGCTCCTCGCTGCGCGGCGCCGCCAGTGCCGACGCGCCGTACGCCGGGCACGAGTATAGCGCCAGCGAGCCGGGCGCCTGGTACAGGTAGCCCTGCGGGTAGGACATGGTGGGCGCGGGACGCCGGGCCCGCGTCACGCCGAACAGCGGGCAGGGCGCGCGGCGCCCTCCATCCACGCCCGGCCGGGGCGCGGCGCGGCGGCGGCGGGCGCGGGGACCGCCGGCCGAGGGAGGCCGGCCTGCTCACTAGCCCGGGCGGCCCGCGGGCCGGGGGAGCGGCTGGGCGGCGGCGGCGGCGACCTCGGCAGCGGCAGCGCGGAGCCGGTGGGCGCAGCCGCGCGCCAGGCCGGCGGTCGGGGTTTGGGGGAGTCTGGACTCGGGAGTGAGGAGTTGAGGAAGGAGCGCTCGAGTTTCCGAGGGACATTGGAACGCAGAGCTGTCCGTCACGAGTTCATCTGCATATTCGGGCGCCCGCCCCTCCCCTGCCCCGCCCGCTTTGCCGGCTCAAGCCGCCAGGCCGCGGCCGGGGGAGGGGCGGAGACGGGCCGGGGAGGGGGGCGGAGGAGCGGGCGGCGGGAGGGAGGAAGGAGGGAGGAGGAGGCGTTAGCGACGCGCAGGCTTTTGTGGCGCAGTCGCCTCTCGCGCAGACCCGGCCCGCGGCTCGCGGCCCCGCAGCCTGGCGGGGCCGAGCAGTGCGCACCCCCTCCCACTCGCGCGGACTCCCGGCACCCGCCCTCCCACCTTCCTCGGCCAGCCCCCCAGACCCAGCCGCGCTGGCCCCCTTCCCTTGCCCCGCCCCCAGCTCGGCCCGCGAGAACCCGGCAGAGGCCGCTGGGCTGCCACTTGGGGGGACGAACGGCCCGTGCCCCCTCTCCGCCCGGGTGGCTGAGCGCAGGACCCTAGTGCCAGGGCCGAGAGCCGCGGGTGATGGGGCGGGAGTGTGGCACCCGAGGCCCGGGTCCTCCTGGGGGTGCCGTGCGTGGCGCTGACTTCCACCTTCCTGCGTCCACCCTGCCTGCCGCGCGGTGCGAAGCTCCCCGCGTGGCCTCGCGTGTGGTCTCCGGCCCCGCGCCGCCCAGCGTGTCCCTGCGGGACCCGGATCCGGGGCACTTTCGTTGCGAACTGCCAGGAGGGCCCTGAGGTGAGCTTTCTGCCCCGAAGTCCGTAGTGGCAAGCCGGTCCCGGGGTGTTAGGACTTTCTGCTGTAGGAAGCGTTTTAGCCCACGCCTCCAGTGCTTCGTCCGGGAAGACGCCACCCCCTCCAAAGAGTTTTATTTTATTTTGTTTTAATAAGTTGACTCCTCTTTCGGATGTGTTTTGTAAAACACTCTGGGGAATGATTGTCACTGGACAGACCGCCTCTGGCACGACGTGAAGCCTCGCTGTCACTCGGGAAGGGACGAGAAAACGACAGGCTGGTGGCACGGGCGGCGCAGTCGGCGGCACAGGTAGCTCAGGTAACAGGCGACTCGGGAGGAGCTTCGCAGGGCCCAGCGGCGAGATGCTAGGAAAAGGGCCCTGGGACCCCCAATCCCTCGAAAACACCCTTCTCCCCATACCTTCTCTGGGGGCCGGGCCAGCGGAAGCGGGCGTCTGGCGACTGGGCTGGGGGACGGGGGGAGGTGGGGGGAGGTCACCGGTGGCTCTCAGGAGGTCCACGGGGGGTCGGCTGTGTGCGGATGCGGCGGGGTGGCCCACACAACAGGTGCCACTTCCTCGGCGGCCGTCTCGGGTGGGTGACCTGTAGGGGGAGAACGCGGTAGGTCGGAGCTTAGGCCCGCAGACCCCCCCTTCCCGCAGCCCCCCCCCTTCCCGCAGCCCCCTGTTGGTTGGGCAGCTCTCAGAGTGGCCAGAGTTATCGCGTTCGGGTCGCGGTCGCGCGGGCGCCGCGCGCGCGTCCTGCGGCCGCTCTGCTGGCTGCGGCTGCAGCGCGGGGACCATGAGGCCCCAGTCTGCGGCCTGATCGCCTGCGGAACCTTCGAGGCAGTCAGGGTGCGTCTGTCTTTCTCTAGGTCCAAGGGAACCAGATGTAAACGGCAGTGCCGGGCTTGAGCAGAACCCACCCTCCTTGGCCTGCGGGTGCGTGGCTCCCGGCAGGTGCGGTCCAGGCCCTTTAACCAGTCGCCTCTCGCCCGAGCCCCCAAGCCACTCGCTCCCTACTGTCCCCCCACGCTGCCTACAAACCCCAGCCCGCTCCCGGTACACCTCACTCGCCACCTCCCCCCCAAACACACCCTCCTCCGCCCCGCCCCTCCCCCACTACTTCCCACACACTCTGGGCCTCTGTGAGCACCCAGCAGGGGAGTTTCAACAATGCTGTGACCCCAAGCAGGACGTCCTAATTCAGTTCAGGGCAGATATTTTAAATCAATTATCCTAGCGTTAAAAAGGAAAGAGAAGGAGAGAGAGCCAGAGGCCCCAGCAGCCCTGTGGCGCATGCCTTTGACAGGACCCACGGCATTTGTGGTCTTCCTGGGAGGGTATTCGGCCGGGAAGAGGCCGTAAATGAGACAGACACACGTTGGATGACCAACGTAAACAGCAGCAGATCAGGTTACAGGCCTTCGGTTCGCTTCCAATTACATAGTTTAAATGAAAAAATCAGGTCTAATGTTTATCTCCAAGGAAGACTGGCCTGAGTATTTCCATTTCCAAAGACCAGCGCCTGCTGTTGTCTCATTAGCATTTGGGCCTGCCCCCCCTCGCCCTCCCTCGCCCTCCCTCGATCTCTCTCCTGGGCCTGATCTCTGCCAGGGGCAGAAAAGAAAACAGCGAATTATTACAAAAACATCCCCAGTTTGGAACAGGAGCATAAGCTCCGATACACTCGATTTTGACATCAATTAAGTGTATAACCAGACATGTGCACGTGGCTTTGGAGGGTCTCGACTCGCCCAGGGTGCATCTCCAGAAAGGGCTGCCTGGTACTTCCCTCTGCCTTTAGCTCGGCGCTGCTGATTCTGAAGACAGTCTCTTCTCTGAGTGTATTTTATCCCCCAGCAATTATACTCCTCCACTGAAATCTGAATTTTCCGTACTGCTGCCTGCTACTAATAAAAACCGTCTACCTTGCACTATTAAACAGTCGAATCGCCCTACATGCCGTTTTTATTAGTAGTGACTGTAGCAAATTAAAATGCCTACGCAGAGACATTAAAACTTACGCTCAGCATTGTTATGGGGATATATAAACTCCGTTTCGCTTTAAAGCTCTCCGATTTTTTAAAATCACTTTCCCTTTTCGTAGATTAAAGTTGGCTGGGTCTTCTTTTAAAAAACTCAATCGAAAGAACAGGCTGCATGTGTCGAGGCTCGACGCGGTGGCTGGGAGCGCGGCCGCCTGCGACTGTGGCCTGGATTCGCGGGAACTGAGTCTCGGGTCACCGCGGGGAGCGCTCGGCTGCGCCCCGGGCCGCCAGGCCTCCTCTCTCCGAGAGCAGGGACCTAGATGCTTCGCTCACGGTCGTGGAGGGCGTTCAGGCCTGTGGAGCGTCTCGGTCCGGACGTACGCTTGGCTTCTGTTGCTTTCAGTTGCCCTCCAAGCTGGATTTAAAGAGAAGGGCCGGCACGCAGGGCCAACCGGGTAAGTGCCCGGAAAGCGCGCTCACACGGAACCATTAACCTGGGGAGTGAGCTTTCAGGTTTACGGTGGATCCCCCCCGCCCCTTTGCCCCAGATGTGCATTCAGAAAACAAGCGGGTGTGGTGGTTGTTAACACTGTCACATTACTGTTTCTTGTCCCAACAGTGGCCGATGCCTTTGGAACAAGTCGGCGTGGACATGCACGTTTCAAGGAGCTGTGGTTTCCTGGAGGCCAAGCTCTGGGAAACGGCAGAAACGCGCGCGGGCTTGGGCTCCGGGTCCTCCCCGGAAAGGGGCGGCGGCGCAGGCCAAGGCGCCCTCCACCTCCGTCCTGGGGCTCCCGGGAGCCGGGCAGGCTGAGCGGCGACGCGGCCCGAAGTCGTGCGCGCGGGCGGCGAGGGGGCGCTGTGGCCCGCAGCTGCCGCCTCGTCCCCATCGCGGTGGCCCCGGCGCTGTCCCCGGCCACCGACGGGCGGCGGGCTTCCCGACCTGCCTCCTCCCACGTCGGTTTGATTCGGGGAAGAAGGACAATAACCCTGGAGCATTTCAATAAAACCTGAGTCTCGCTCGACCTTTCTCTCTTTCCGCCTTTTGCCCTGTCTTCCGGGGAGTTTGTAAGAGTTTGGTGGGAAAATAGGTGGCATTGTGGAACGTGTAAATTTGGAGGGGGGTCAGTTAAGATTAAAGAGACACATTTTACGTTGTTCCCCCGAATAAAGCCACGTGTGAAATGCAAGTCGTTTCAGTGTATAAGGCTCATTTCCAGTGTGTTCCTAACCGAGTTCCCCTGTGCCCGCACTTCCTGGCGGGACTGCGGAGCGAGTGACAGCAAAAACAAGGAGAAAGAGCACTAGAGTTCTGCGTTTTCCTTTGTTTTTCTATTCTTTTTTGGAAAACCGAAACACGTCGCTATAAATTGTACAAAATTTAAGTCAAAATGAAACGTAAATGCCTTCCAAGCGGGGTTGAGCCCGCTCACGATTCCATGGACACTTTGGATTTCCAAGGTTCTCAAACTCTCTTCTGATGTGGCCACGTGTGTCTGGAAAACAAAGTCGTAGGCGAACCCGCGCCAGGCCCAGGGGTCCCCGCCGCTCCTGTCCAGGAACCCCGAGCTGGGACGCGGCCCGGGGTTTTCAAACTGGCCCGAAAGCCTGGGCCCTGCGGGCAGCGCCGCGGGTGGGGACCCGGGCTGGGGCCCCAGGACGCAGGGAGCTCTCTTCTGCACTTTCTGGGCTCAGTCGGCGACCCGGCTCTCCCGCCAGCGGCTCGACCCCGGAGCTCGAACGACTGCGAGGTCTCCTGGCCGCTAACGTGTCCCTCCCGGTTTCCTTTAGTGGCAGCACAGTGCCCATCCTCTCCACAGATGCCCCGCCTCCGACGCGCTTCCTGAAGTTTCTCCTGCGCTGCGCCCCGAGAATCCTTCCCTCGCCATTTCTCAGCATCCTGCAGGCTTGGCCTGCGTGCTCCCCTGGCTCTCGGCTCATCCCTCCTCCCCGCCCGCCCGGAACCGCAGACCCTAGTGGCGAGGCGTGCGCGCGGCCCCGCGCCCAGGTCCCCGCCGGCGTCCGAGTCCCGGGCCTGGAGCGCCGAGCGGGAACTGGATGGCGGGTGCAGGGGTGGGGGGAGGGTCGCGGGCCGGGTACGGGATGAGGGATCCGAGTTACTGCAGACCCGTTTCCGGAGCAGCGAAGACCCGAGCGCCCTCGTCCTGCAATCGGCGGCTGTCTGGAAGGAGAAGTGTTCGAGAGTCCTCAGCCCTCCACGCTCACGGCGTGGACTCGCACACACGTGTGCGCGCACACGCGCGCTGCCAGGGGAGGTCCGCGCGCCGCGGGAGCTGCTCTGGGCAAGTGGAAAGAGATAAGAGTTGTCAGTTTTTTCTTTTCCCTTTTCTTTTAAGTGTTTCTGCAAGACAGTCGGTGGAAGAACTTAGCTCACCTCCATCCCCCACCTCTCCCCACCCCACCCTCAGTCCCTCCGGCAGCTACTCCGTCACTCGCTTCGCATTCTCCGTTCTACACTCCGGAGCGCACCGTGGGGCGTGAGTGCGGGTGTGAGCGCGCCCAGGGGGCTGCAGAGACCGCGCGAGTCGCTCCGACCGGCCGGAGCAGGTAGGATCCTCGCTCGCAAGAAAATATGGGAGGAGAAGGAAGTGTGTTTTGACAATTGGTTTCATCAGAGAAGCGAGGCCGTATAGGGCGTTCGTCTGGGGCCACGCTTCACATCCTTTTGCTAACTCTCGCTTTGTGCGCCCAAACGGCTCGCCCAGCCCACGATTCGGCGGCACGTAGTCAGGCGCACGCACCAGCCCTCCCCAAGCTCTCCCACACACTCTGACACAGCTGGGTTGCAGAGCCAGGGGTAAGAGAGGATTTTTTTTTTTTTTAATACTGGAAGGAAGGCAGAAAGAAAAGTTTGATACATTTGACTGCATTAAAAGTAAAAACTTCAGTTGGATAGAAAATAAATTGCTGAAGATAGAAGATATTTGCGGGCCACCTAAATGGCAAAGACTGCTCTGCAGAATCAGGAAGGGTTCCCAACATCAGCGGGTGAAGGCAAGCCACCCAATGGAGAAATGGGTCAGGGATGCAGGCAGACCCTCCACACAGAGGAGACCTAACAGAGGCGCACATTCACTCTTGACAGGGAAACCATACGGTGTATAAGATGCCACTTTACGCCCGCTGGATGACACCAAACAAGGCCCAGGGTGTGCAGAGACAGGACACTCGCTCTCCCTGCCGTGCTAGTTGAAATGGCTCCAAAGGAATTAGGGAGGTATTTGGCCACATCTGAAAGAGCAGGAGATGCCCACTCCCTCTCACCCTGGATTCCTTGCCTATTGTCCCACCACAAGAAAAATGCCAGGCAGGGGCACGGAGGCCCCAGCACAGCGCTTGCAGCATTGTTTGCAAAGTACAGGGCTGGAAATGTCCTAAATGGCAGGAGAGGCCTGGATACAGAGTCTGCGGCATATTCCATGGAACAGAATGTTCCCAGGGATGAAAGTGAGTAAGAGAGCTTTGCTGGTGTCAACATGAATAAGTCCTGAGAATATAGAGTTGAGCGGGGAAAATAATAATAATTTTTTTAAGAAGGATACAGACAGCTTGATGCCGATGACAGAATTTGACAAAAACCAGCAATATGTGTGCTGTTTACACATGAGGGTGGGGACTGCAGTAATGCTGTGGGGAAGAAGGTCTCCCCTCTGCTGCAGGCCCACTGAGTGCCTGGGAAGAGGAGTGAGGGGAGTCCACTGTGTTAGTCATGTTTTATTTCTGAAAAATACATCTGCTGCAAACGTCACAAAAGATTATTAACTTGGAATGATGGTTACGTGGGATTCTCTTACTCTGTACGTTCCTACCCTGTGAAATATTTTACACTTTGAAAATTAAAAGAAAAGTATGTGTTATCATTTAAAAAGAAGTCACAGAAGTATAGTGAACTAATTTAGGAGCGCTTTCTTAAAAAAAAAAAAACAGGTTGTCAAAAATTTGCATTTTTGTCTCTTTCTTCCTCTCTTCGTCCCCCCACCCTTCAAAATATAAAGATAAACAAAGTCTTGGATTTGCAGTTTAGACTGTCACTTATGTGTCTTTGGGCCATCGTCCAGAGCGTGGCAGGTAGAGAGAGGCTTCCTGGGCAGGGTGCTCCCTACAGGGCCCTGGGCCCCTCGTCTGGGACCTGCAGGTTAGCGGCTCACCCCATGGCCACTTGCTCTGCTCAGGGCTGAGGCACCGTCACAGAGGCCTCTGGAGGGGAAGGATAGCGTTGCTGCCACCGGCCACCTGCATGCCTCTATGGGGAGAGGGATGCCTTTGCCCTGGATGGAATTCTGCATCTTTCCTCTACACACAGTAAAGATATTTTAGAAAATTAAAGTTAAGAGTAGAGAGAAGGGCTCTGGAAGACAGAAAGATGGGGGGATGGCCAAGGGGGTGGGCAGAGTGTAGCCTAGAAAGGAAAGCAGAAGAGAGGCCGGGGCGGGGTAGGGAGACTCCAGGCCCCGGCAGGCCCTCACCCCGCACACACCCCTCACTCCCAGAATAGAACTCTGTGCCTTTCTGGCACTTAAGCTGCTTCTAGAAACAATCCTCTCTGCTCTCATTCTCTCCATTTCAACTAGACGGATTGGATCTTCCACACAGATCTGCGGAGAGGCCTTGCTCAGGCAGAGAGGCCGGCAGCTTGGCCCCGGCGGTGATTACAGAGGCCTCCAAGTTCCATTCTATTCCTCAGCCTGCTCAGAGCCAGGCTAGGAAAGGGTGCTGCTTCCTGGGAATCCCCACAGTTCCAAAGGGTCCCCTGCATCCACCAGGTGGAAGGCCCTTGCTGCTTACTTCCACTGGCAGGCAGCCATCGGGCTGGCTGCCCCCTTGCTCTTGATCGGGCCCCCTGGCCCGCTGACCCTTCTTCCTGCAGCCACACCCCCTCCCACATCAGTCTCTACACGTTGCTTCCCCTGAGAGCATCCTCCCCACGGAGCTCCTTCATCCCTCTGCCTTGGGGCTCTGTGGCAGCCACAGCCAGAGCTGCTGCTGGTGTCCCGGTGTGACGGTTCTCTGACCTGACTTCCGGCCTGGCAAATCGTGGGAGCTAGACAAGTATTGACTGAACGAACGAAAGAATGAGCGGATGGCTAGCTCTTGGTTACTCACCTTTACTTCTAAAAGGTACAGCAGGGTGTTGAGGGAAAGAAAGAAAAAGATCACAGGGAGACTCGCTCACGTTTTGACCCCGCTTCCCTCCTTGGAGATTCCTCTGCACCTGAGTGTCATGGACACTCCTCGTAATCCAGGCAGATCCGATCACGCCTCAGGAGCCCTGCTCTCCAGTGTAAAGCATAGTTGATTTGGGATGTTAAATTTTAGGGCCCAATGGAAATACACACTTAAAATAACATTTAGTTTTTAAAATAAATTCCTGAGTTAGCAGTCAGCCCCAAACCTTGCATTCCTTGAGGAAAGTGAGCGTGAATTTTTATTTTTGCATCTCAAATGACCTGTTCCCAGCACACAGACATTTGGGAAAAAGGAAACTTGACCAGAAGCAAACTGGACTTTTATGATATTTTTAGTGAAAAATTCAGTGAGAACAAGTGTTTAAAGCACTACTTAGGTTCCGAGCAAGGGTTTTGTAGATACAGACAAGCTTACTGTAAAACTTATTTTTAATGGCACAAACCTTACGATAGCTAAGACAATTTTGACAAAGAAGAATAAAGTGAGATGAATCAGTTTACCGGATATCAAGACATTACATCATTGGAACAGAAAAGGCAATCCAAAAACAAACCCAGATGAATATTCCTGACTAAATTTGGCGAAGGTGCAAAGCAATTAAATGAAGGAAAGTTAGTCTTTTCAACAAATGGTGTCGGAGCGATTGGACATCCATAAATCACACACACACACACACACACACACACACACACACACACACACACACACACACACACCCTCCAACCCAAGTCTCATATCTTATACAAAAATTAACTAAACATGGAGCACAGACTTAACTGTCAAATTATGAAACTTTTAGAAAAATAGAGGAGAAAGTC